ATGTGACACCTCCCCCCTTTATAAATTGTTTTGCGGGGGAAAAGCTAAAGTGCTTTTCTCCAAAAAAACAACCAGGATCAAAACACATAAACAGTTATACATTATAATACAATCCCATAACCCATACTTACTCACTCTAGGTCAAACATATCACTTATGCATTTATACATTAATATTTGCAATACATTAAGTTACCTTTATTAATACAAACCAAGCCTGTTCAATAAACAGATACATTTAACTTTTGGTCACCAATATACACAGTCCATGGTTTCTTCGCCGTCTTCACTCGTCGGGTCTTCTTGACAAGGCGTCAGCAACACAGTTCATTGTCCCTCTGACCACCTTCACTTCAAAATCAAAATCTTGCAGGTTTAAAGCCCACCTCATAAGTTTACTATTATGGGTTTTCATTGTCTTTAACCACTGCAGTGGTGAGTGGTCAGTGCACAGAACAAAATGTCTTCCCCAGATGTAAGGTTTGGCCTTCTGAATCGCGTATACTATGGCCAGGCACTCCTTTTCCACGGTTGCCAAATGTCTCTCACCTTTCTGGAGTTTCCTACTCAGGTAGGACACTGGATGCTGGTCACCATTTTCATCCTCCTGGCAAAGAACTGCTCCTACCCCGCTGTTAGACGCATCGGTGTAGATGATGAACTCCCGGGCGAAGTCGGGAGCACGCAGCACTGGATAATGGATGAGCGCCTCCTTCAACCTCTGGAACGCCTCCTCACAGTCGCTGGTCCACGGGATGCGGTCATCAGTCTTCTTCCGCGTCAGATCGGTCAGCGGAGTCGCCATCTCACTAAACCTCGGGATGAACTTTCTGTAGTAGCCCACCAACCCAAGAAATGATTTGACTTTTTTCTTGGTGTTGGGTCTGGGCCAATCACGAACGGCTTCTATCTTGGCCTCTAGGGGTTTGATCACTCCTCCCCCTACTATGTGACCCAAATATTTTATTTCTGGGCTACCCAGCTGCAGATTGTTCTCTTTGCAGAGCCTAGGCCAAAGCACTTCCTCCCCTGGGTTAAAGCGCCTCTCCCTGGCTTTCTGGTCATACCAAGTTTTCTGTCTAACCTTCTGAGCTTGCAGGTT